GAGCACTGCTTGGTTCTCTCTCTACACACAAGCTGCCACGGACTGTGCCATGTACAGGAAAGTCTGTGCTCCTGGGTGGTAGTTGGTGGACTGAACTTTGACTTCCTTGTTCAACCCCGGGGCCTTGAGTGAGCCAAACGTGTGGCCCACATATGTGCTCTGGTGCTCCAGGCTTGGCAACAGGACGAGCAGGCCAACAAGGAGGGAAAAAAGAGACTCAACCCCTTTTTGTGTCAGTCTCAGGGCTTTTGGAGAAGATTTAGGAGTGGGAAAAGACATGAAAATAAAAGGCTATGGCTTCAACGACAATAGTCATGGGGGAAGCGTTGGTGCAAGGGGGTCTTGGGGATCAAGAGAAAACCATTCAGTCAGAAATACAAAAGAACAATAGCATTTGTTCAATTTCTTTGGGAAAAATATTGATTTAAATAGGGGTGATAAAGTCTTACTGAATGAGTCCGACTCTTAAAGAAGAAAGGGATATATTATCTTCAGAAAAGTTTAAAGCATTAAAATAAATGGAAAATATTTAACAAAAATTCTTTACTAGGCCAGGTCTCAAGTCATATCTAAACTCGAGTAAAAGGGTAAAATAAAATATTTATATGGAAATTATTCGGTAAGTGAGGCTTTGTATTCAATCAATTTGACCAATTAATGTGTGTGGTGATTTAAAGCAATACCAGAGGATTCTGTATCTCTGCTTTAGGCCTATTTTCTATAGCATGAAATAGCACATAAAGAGCTTTTTAGTTGATGGACATAAGGCAAAGGAAAAATGGAACTAAATAGCTGATTTCAAAAGACTAATGAGATTCTTTTCCAGTATCATGCACAAATCAAATTATATGCTACATGGATGAAATAAAAAATCCAGCTGGAGAAAACTTAAGAAATCAAAAACAGGCTGGGATCGGTGGCTCAGCCTGTAATCCCATCACTTTGGGAAGCCGAGGCAAGTGGATTGCCTGAGTCCATGGGTTCAAGACCAGCCTGGGCAACTTGGTGAGACCTCGTCTCTACAATAAAAATAAAAAATTAGCCAGGCATGGTAGCTCACGCCTGTAGTTATGGCTACTTGAAAGGCTGAGGTGGAAGGATCGCCGGAGCCCAGCAGGTTGATGCTGGGGGAGCCATGAGTGTCCCACTGCACTCTAGCCTGGGCAATGAAGTGAGATTCCAACTCAAAAAAAGAAATTAGAAACGAATATTCACCAGAAGCTTAAAAGTCTTCTATGTCTTAAACATTATGTTAGATACTTTCAAAAATATTACTTCATTTAAAAAATGTACTTATGGCTTGTTATGCAAGGCAAATATTACAAATGAACTTAAAGATCCTAAACCAAGCATTTTAGTTTTCAAGTTACACTATGTCAAAAGAGGTTCTTCCCTTACAAAAATATTACTTACAAATTTTGTTTTTCAGAAGTTATGTTTGAGTAGTTATTCAAAGTGGTAAAATTATTAAGTTTGCTTCCTTTATGTCTTGTTCTATCCAAATGGTATAGAGAGAAAAGCATTAGTATGCTACTTCACGGCTAAAACAGGATTAAGTTTCATTCAAGCTTTGCATGGTGACTCACACCTATAATCCAGCACTTTGGGAGGTAAAGGTAGGAAGATCACTTGAGGCCAGGAGTTTGAGGCTAGCCTGGGCAACAAAGTGAGACTTCATCTCTACAAATAAAATAAAATAAAATAAAATAAAATAAAATAAAATAAAATAAAATAAAATAAAATAAAAGATTTGGGCATGGTGGCACATGCCCTTAGTCTCAGCTACTTGGGAGGCTGTGGCAGGAGGATCATCTGAGCCCCCAGGTGTTGGAGGTTGTAGTGAGCCACGGTCATGCCACTCCACAGCAACCTGGGTGGCAGAGACAGACTGTGTCTAAAAAAAAAAAAAAAAAAAAAAGTTTGTTCCATATCAGGCCATCCTTTAGCTGAAACATCATAATAGCAAAGACCACACAATTCTAGCTATCCAAGGCTCTAAGATTCTGGGGTGTCTAAATACTGCTTTAGTGACCTCATAGCACATGACTGGAGTTGGTGGGACAAATCCTCGACTTCTTCCATGAAGCCCAAGTGGCTCCAAACCACTCCATGGTCCCCCATTCTACCTGCCAGCACACTATGGACCTACTCAGTCCTGAAGACCACCAAGGTTATTCTGAACCCAACAATGGGGTTTCAAAATCACAGGGCTCTTTGAGGAGTAGCCACAGTGGCCCAAATGCTCTCATGATAGGCTACTTTAGTTTTAAAAAGACTTGTACCACAACTTTACATAAAGCTTAAACAAGAGAGAAATGTAACTAACTACCTGGGTCTTTTCAGCACTCCCCAAATATAAGGGAATGTAAGAAAAAAAAGTCTCTAGAGACAAATTCCTGCAAGGAAAACAGAAACATTTTCTGGCAGAGGGAAGGGAAAATGAGTTCTCTGATCTGGTGTCAACATTCTCAAACAGGCAGCAACACAGTGAGACAAGGCAGGGCATTGAGCAATCTCATCGCAGAAATGTAGAGTTGACTCCCAGGGGTGAGCCATGCAGGAGCAGGAACCACAGTGCCTTCCGTCGGTCCATGGGCTGGCAGAAGGCTGGCCAACGAGTTGGCCCCACTTTCCCAGTGCGTTACATACTCTATGGTTTCAATAAACCAAGGAGATTCCAAAATTAGCATTCATTCGTTGAGCCAGAAAGAAGAACCTCTTAGCCATTTTGGTAATTTAGATCTCAAATTGATTTGTTTTCCTGGTGGTGGTGGTGGTTGGGGGGTGGGGTTTAAAGGGATTCATTTAGAGGATATCCAAACAACTGGGTTCGCGAGTGAGTTTTAAGGTTCTAGCAAACAAATCCATCTTACCCATTAAAACAACTCGGCTCCGTCTGCTTCTTGTTCTTCTGTGTTAAAATAGAAATGCTGTAAGCAGAGTCTGCAAACCAGGCTATCCCTGAAGCGGGTATGCTCCATGGTGAGGAGTAAGGTGAAAATCAGATGAAGTCAAAATGAACCACATGCTCCCCACACAGAACTCGGGGAGGGAACACATGGCTCCTTTGCACTCTCACCTTTTTGCTTGCCAAACTTTAATTGCCAAATTTAGTCAATTAAATTATAAGCAAATGTCCTATTATTGATAAGTTCAGCTCTACAGTTCAAGCCACCCTGGTCTGGAGGAACACTGTTCAAATTGGCAGAGTTAGTTATAAGGCAATACGGATTAAAACAAGTCAGGTTCACATTTCCATGCCAGGCAGGTTTGTATTTTACAAGGCTAAGGACCAAGGGGTGAAAATAATGCTCTCCCTATTCCTCCCTTAAGGGGAATGCTGTTCTGTTTGCTTTACTCAGAATATAGCTGGTAAGTGTAAGAGTATGCCTGCTTCCCGGTAGAAAGACACAGGCCAACAAAGCAGCAAGGGAGAAAAGAACACAAGATGCTTATGGTCATTATCTGGGGGATGCTGACAGAGTCTGCCCAGAAAAGAACAGAAAAGGAAACATTCTTGCCACAGCAAGCCAGACACGCTCATGACAGTGGCGCAAGACTCCTGAAGAGGATTCTGGATAAGGAAACCTGAGGAGAGAAAGGCCCTTTGTTTTCCACTCCCTCAGGAATGCCCACACGGGACAAGACTGGAGAGACAGACCGACTACAAAGAGGGCTTCACGGCTCACAGTTGTCTCAGGACCAACCTGACAGCTAGCTCCACCCCCCTTCCAGAAATCTGAATCATATCCTCAGTTCAACACACATGAGTCACAGGCTAGAGAGCAGGATCCAGGACTGGAGTGAGATAAACACTGCCACAGGCTCCATGCACTGTCAGGGGCATCAGAACCACGCCAGGGACAGTGTTCAGCAAACAAACACAACAAATGGCCACCGAGTACACGACGTACATTCACGCCTTACCCTCTTGACAGCCTGTGAGGGAGGGACTACTTTCCTCTTTTCACACACGGGGAAACTGAGGAACAGAGTTTTAAGTCATGCAGCAGAAACATGACAATGTGAGGACCCACACCCTGCCCTTCTGGCTTCAGAGATTACTCCGAACACTATACAGACTCTCCAATAAAAATGACTCATCACCTGACACGTTATGAGCGCTAGGTAGGCCAGCCCTCTTCTAAACTCCATAATCACTCCCTTAGTGAGAGAGGTTCCATAACTAGCCCAGGTCACCATCAGTAAGTGACTGCTCTAGGGTGTCCCACAGAGCCCCTCCTCTTAGGCATACTGCTGCCTGCTTCCTCCCACGGAACTATGGGAGGAGTTTTTTTTTTTTTTTTTTTGAGTTGGAGTCTCACTCTGTTGCTCAGACTGGAGTGCAGTGGCATGCTCATGGCCACCGCAGCTTCGACCTACTAGGCTTAGGGAATCCTACCACCTCAGCCTTCCAAGTAGCTGGAACTACAGGCACGCACCACTATGTCCAGCTAATATTTTGACTTATCATAGAGATGAGGTCTCATCAAGTTGCTTAGGCTACTCTTGAGCCTGTGAACTCAGACAATCCTCTCACCTCAGCCTCCCAAATTGCTGGGATTATAGGCGTGAGCCACTGCGCCTGGCTTGGGGGGAGATTTTAATGCCCTCTTTTGCAGGTGAAGGAGACTGAAGTTCAGCAGCCAGCATGAGGCAGAAGTTTGTTCACAAACTCAACTCCTTCAAGGTGTGAGTCTGAGGAGCTTCCAGTCTGTGCTCTTGGCCTTGACTGTGGATGATGTACCGGGGGCCAACACACTCCAGAACTGATGCGTACCTGTTCTGTAGACAGCCAAGTGCCCTCTGGGTTACTTTAACCTAAAGCAATCGACAACACCGAGGCCTCTTCCCATCACAGCCTCATGTCTTACAAGAAAGAGTCTTTCCTCAAAGTCCCTACCTACTATTTCCCCCAGAATGACAAAGAGGCACCTCATAAATGTTAAGCCCCATTCCCCTGCCTCATCCCCAACAACAGTTAAACCACTTGCACTTACGCTTTAAATGCTGGGAGGTAGGAGTATATAGAAATGCTGCTTAGGTTATAAATAAATGGCAGGTGTTTTCTGATATCTGTTGTCGCCCAGCTGCTAAAAAACGTGTTCAGTAAGCCCTGGTCCCCGCCTGGAAGGAAAAAATACATAAATCACAGTTAACAGACCTCTAGAACAGTTTAAGTACACATAGGTCACCTAAGTAGACCTTTAAAAAATAGGTTCTAATTACATTTCAAAATAATAAATTCCTTGCCACACCAATTAACAATATTTTAGGGGATGCTCATTTCCCTGACTTAATTCATTAATTCAACAAATATTTACTGAGCAGCTACTATGTACCAGACACTTTACCAGCCACTGCAGAGTCAACAGTGAATGGCAGACACAGTCACCGTCTTCACTAGAGTCTGGGTGGGGGGTGGGAGACTCCAACACCAGCAAATCCAGAGTCAACACAGTCATAGCAGACGGGGATGACAGTGAAGCAACATATGGGGCACTGCAAGCACACACAGAGTGGTTGAGCCTTGTGTGATGGGTCAAGGAAGGCTTGCGTGAGAAGTAGTGCTGAACCAAGATCTGAAGGGTGCTAGGAATACTTGACAAGCACAGGTAGGGGAGGAAGGGTGGATAGCACTCTAGGCAGAACAGACACAGCACACACCACAGACCGGGGCAGGGACATGAGGCTGAGGCAAGAAGGCTGGAAGGTGGTCCGAGTGAGGGGCCTGCTGCGTGGGCGCAAGTTGCATGGTGCCAGCTGAGTCTCAGAGAGGTCGGCATGGACCAGACCACACTAGGATCAGATTTTAGATGTTTCCCCAAGAGTGACAGGACAAAGAAGCAAGAAGCAAAAGAGAACAAACTGGGACAATTGTTTTCTGGGGTCCCCAACTGTTGGCTAATCAACGGAGGGCCTACAAGGCCCCATCACCCCTATGGTGCCCTCTCCTGCCGCTGACCATATCTTCAGGCAGGGCCTGGTATACTCATCCCATGGCCAAGGTCAGCCACAATTCTATAGAAAGTGCTTGCTCAGCCCCAAGGAATTCCCAGACTTTGTCTTCCTTGGAAAATGATGACTGTGGCCATTGACTCAACAGAAAGAATAGAAATCTCAACTGCTGAGTGTCTGACCCAAATCACAAACACTTAAGTAATCAAACAGGTCACCAAGTCACCTCAAAACACATGGTTCCAGCTGGGCACAGTGGCTCATGTCTGTAATCCCAGCAGTTTGGGAGGCTGAGGCAGGAGGCTTGCTTGAGCCCAGGAGTTTATGACCAGACTAGGCAACACAGTGAGACCTTGTCTCTACAAAGAATAAAAAAAAAATTAGGCAGGGGTGGTGGCACACACCTGTAGTCCCAGCTACCTGGGAGGCTGAGGCATGGGGTATCACTTGAGCCTAGGAGTTTGAGGCTGTGGTGAACCATGATTATGCCACTGCACTCCAGCCAGGGCCCTGACCAAAAAACAAACAAACATCACATTCTTCCATGTATTCTATGTGCTTTCTACTTTAGACTTATGAGATTTCAGAAAACAAATTGAGAAGTAGCAGAGCAGGAGCTCAGGACATGTGTGCATGTGTTTGTGCACAGTAAGTCCTCTGATTTGAACAAGTTCTGCTCTGAGAGCACATGAAGTTCAAAGTTAGCCTGGGTACCCAACCGACACAATCAGCTATGCAGTGCCGGCTACATCACCACTCCTTTTATGTTTGCTCTGGACACTCTGGGCTTGAAATAAAGATACTGTACTACTGTACTCTATACAGTAAAGTACACAAAGACACCATCACTTGTAGAGGATGCATGCATGTGACAATGTATGCCAGACACATAAACTTAAATGATTGGACATGCAAACGCATGTTTGCATCTTTGAAAGTTTGCAACTTGAAGGTTTGTATGTAGGGGACTTACTGTATACATGCGCAAGCATGCATGGGATGCGACAGGCATGAAGAATCCTGCTCTAAGTGTGAGGCTGGCATACTGCACAGCCACGTCCCTCCTCAGTCTGCTCTGCCCCAAAATCCAGTTTGTCTTTTCCGACATAACAGCAAGTCCAACTGACTGTCACTACTTTTAGTTTTTCTTGGTCTTGAAGGGGACTTCAAAAATCTGTGGATTAGTTTAATTTTCAAAGTCAAGTAGTAAGATCAGGGCTTTAGGTTTAAATCTCTGTGCAGGTGAGGCATGATGGCTCACGCCTATAATCCCAGCACTTTGGGAGGCCGAGGTGAGAGGACTGCCTGAGCCCACGGGTTTGAAACCAGTCTGGGCAACTCAGTGGGACCTCATCGCCACAATAAATTAAAAAAGTAGTTGGGTATGGTGGCACGTGCCTGTAGCTCTGGCTACTTGGAAGGCTGAGGTGGAAGGATCTACTGAACCCAGCAGGTTGAGGCTGCGGTGACTGTAAGCATGTCACTGCCCTCCAACCAGAGCGACAAAGTGAGACTCCAACTCAAAAAAAAAAAAAAAAAAAGCTCTGTGCATTGCACCCTTTCCAAATCCCTTCAACCAACTCTGAGAGTCAAAAGAATTCACTGAGTGAATGTCCATGGAGCAAGCTCTCTGTAAAGAGTGGCCACGAGAGGTCCTTGTGCCTCAAGGAATCAGCACTAACAGAAGATACATTTTCCCTTGTATGTGCTAAAAGACAATACAGATGGCAAGAGGATATGCTTTACTGTTACAAAAATGCAATGCACTGGATGTTTATGTCCCCAAGATTCATATATTGAAATCCTAACCCCCAAGGTTATGGTATCTGGAATGGGACCTTTTGAAGGGGGTTAGGTCATGAGGGCAGATCGCTGATGAATGGGATTAGTGTCTCATAAAAGAGGCCTAAGAGAGGTCCCTCACCTCTTCTGCCACATGTAGTTATAAGAAAAAGACAGTTATCTGTGAACTAAGAAACAGTCACTCTCCAGACACCAAATCTACTGGCATCCTGATCTCAGAACTTCCAGCCTCTAGAACTCTGAGAAGTAAATTTCTGTTGTTTATAAACCATTCAGTCTATGGTATTTTATTATAGCAGCCTGAACAGACTAAGATAATAGATGAACAGACATGAGAATAAAAGATTTTAGCTAAAAGGCAAATTAACATATTCTGAGGCACAAAATATTAAAGCCAAAACATCATGCCATTCACCAGAGGCTTATTTTGGATTCTACAAAAATGCCCCAAATGTGTGGGACTAAACACTGGTGACTGGGGTACAGAAGTCTTACTAATTTCCTTCTAAACATAATCATCAAAATATTTCCATGGAAACAGAAAAAAAAAAAAGACGAGAATATGTTCACAGCAGCTTTAGTCATAATAGTGCAAAGCTGGAAACAGCCCAAATGTCATTCAACAGGTGCATGTGGTACATCCACATAATGGCATATCACTTGGCAATAAAAAGGAACAAACTACTGACATGCACAGCAACCTGGATGAATCTCGAGGTAATGATGTTTAGTAAGGAACTCCAATCCCACAAAATTAAATACTGTGTGATTTCACTTATATAACATCTATCGAATGATAAAATGATAGAGATAGAAACAAATTGATGGGTGCCAGGGGCTCAGGAGGTGGAGAGGAGAAGGGCAGCTGTGGCTGTAAAAGGGTGTCATGAGGGTCCTTGTGATGGAAAGTTTCCACATCTTGACTAAGGTGGTATAGTCACACCAATCTGCATGTGATAAAATTGCATGAAAAACAAAAACGCATAGACAGACACAAATGAATACATGTAAAACTGATGAAAGTACATAAGTTTAGTAGATTGTATCACTGTCAGTTTCCTAGATGCGGTGGTATATTTTAGTTATGTAAGATGTTACCACTGCAGAAAACCAGGTGAAGGGTTTGTGGGATCTCACTGTATTATTTTCTTTTTTTTGAGTTGGCGTCTCACTCTGTTGCCTAGGCTCGAGTACAGTATGGCACAATCACAACTCACCACAGCCTCGACCTCCTAGGCTCAGGTGATCCTCCTGCCTCAGCCTCCCAAGTAGCTGGGACCACAGACACATGCCACCATACCTGGGAATTTTTTAAACGTCTCGCAAAGACATTCTCACTATGCTGCCTCGGCTGGTCTCAAACTCCAGTGCTTGAGCAATCCTACCACCTCGGCCTCCCAAAGTGCTCCCACTATACCCAGTCTCCCTCTATTATTTATTACAATTGTATATTGATCTCCAATTCTCTCAAAATAAAAAGTTAGAAAAAAGTCTGAGGATTAATGTGGCTAAAATGCAAAATTCAACAGGAAATGTCAGTCATTAGATTCTAAATTCCACAAGAAAGGGGATTATGACTCTTTTTGCTTACATTACAATGCCAGCATGCAGCAGAATGCCTTATACAAAGGCAAATTATTTGTGGAATGAATGTAAGAACCTCAAAGATATTCTATAACTGCAGAAAAGTTTAAACAACTTACATATTCTACCATACGGGCATGGTTAGCAACTTGTGATAGCAGCCCCTCAGGGGATTATTCAGCCATTAAAACTAACATCTATAAAGACCATTAGTCCACTGTGTAACATAAAGATATACAGTTACATATACCATACTTATTATCAAGAACATAAACATTAATCAATGTTTACATTTCAAGAAAATAAATAAAACAACAGTAATTGTGTCAGGGGATTGGTGCAATAGATGCATCATTTCCCCCTCCTCCCACTTTTCCCTAATATTGTATTGCTTTTGTAATTTTAAAATATTAGTAATACAACTGGGGTCAAGAATGAGAATTGTGCTCAAACCTTTTCTAACGACTCTTTACTTGTTTATTTTGATTACGAGGTATGATACAATATATGTGGTTATAAAGCATATCATATGACTCTAAGCATCTAACTATATTGTTTTAAAAACCTAAACATTCTAAGACCTCCTTCAACTTAGCCAATTCCACTTCAAATGACCAATGGCTGCACGTGATGCAGGGAAGAAATCTATTTCCGTGGAGGCCTGAACAGCCCTGGTGAGGCAGAACTTCCAAGTCCGTCCTGCGTGAGCCTGGGAAATAGGAGTCAGAGCTGCTGATCCCGCAGAGCCCCTGGCTGGCTGCCTTTGGCCACAAAACGTCGCT